CATGCACACATGCAAACACACAGGCAAACATATAACTCAAACATACACACACACGCACACACACACTCATACACATGCATGGGAGTAACTAACCAGGTCTGATAAGAGCCTCCTCAGTTCCTCACTTTAAAATGATCTGTAACCCTTTTGATGGTCCTCTCCCCCTTACATTTTTATTACAGATGCCATCCAGCATGTCCCAATATCCAGTGTTACCCCATTTTGCCATCCCAAATATTCATTATTAATATATCAAATTATCTCCTAAAATTGTTATTGTCATCAGTTAGCAGTTGTGCCCCGGCCAATGGTCCCTTGCTCACCATGCCTGTTTCAGCATCATCTTCTTAGAATAAAAATAAAGCAACTAGACCTTTTGAATTTGGTCTAATTTTTATTTTCTTTTTACAAAAAGGATTCTTAGCATATCATTCACCATCAATTTAAATTTTCTTTAATGATTCCATTCTGACTCAAATATTTTCAGTCAGGTTGATAGAAACAATAAAATTCTATATACTAGCTAAAGAGCAAGCGAATTCTTTTTCTAAATAACCTGTATTTTTATTTAAGATAAATACTAGAGTCATGTCTACAAAGATTTGAGGATGAAAAGCCCATCTCTAAAGAATTTGATACTTTATCTAAATGTAGTTTCAAATGGACAGCATTAAGAAGATATCCTAATACATAAAAGGATTCAGAAACTAAGTACACTTTCTGGATTCAAAATGAAAAAAAATTCTATGGCAAAGATCACATACTTAGTATTGAACACATTCCCTTTAAAGGATGAACAAATCCAAAAATCATCCCTCACTACTCCTATCTTTCATTGGCAATCTTAACCAGTATAGTAAAAAAGGAAAAAGAAACAAAAGTTATAAAATATGTAAAGAAAACACAAAATGGTCATCAATTGCAGATGACATAATTTTCTATATTGATACAATATGACATCTATATGGAAATTATTTCTATATGGAAATATAGTACAGTCAGAATGCTCCTGAGAAGTAAAGATGGTGAGACTTTGCCTCTCATTCCTTGGACATATTCTCAAGAGGGATCAGTCTCTGAAGAAGAACATTATGCTTAGAAAAGTGAGGGTCAGCAAAAAAGCAAACTCCCAACAAGATGGATTGACCAATGGGCTCTAACATAACAATTGTGAGGATGGCACAGGACCGGGCAGTGTTTCATTCTGTTGTGCACAGGGTTGCTGTGAGTCAGAACTGACTCAATGGCACCTAACGACAACAATTGGAAATCTAAGGGAATCTACAGATAAATTATAGAATGAATGCATGAGTTTATCAAACTTGCTAGATACAAAGTCATACAAAAAAGTTAGGAATCAACGGTTAAATGAAATTTACAAGAGCAATAAAAATATAAAGTACCTTGGATCACATAAAACAAAAGTTGTACAAATCATAAATATTTATTGGAAAATATTAAGGAAAATGTAAAAAAATTGAGATATATATTATGATACTGGGCTCAGTATCAATGGTGAATTTTTACCAAACTGATCAAAGATTTAGTGAACTTCCTATAAAATTCAATGGGGCTTTCATAGAGTTTAAAAAGTTGATTATAAAACTTCTTCAAAGAGCAAATTATAAAAATGCCCAAGCCACCCATGAAGCAGGTGGGCGGATTACATTTAAATTAAGAACACCTGCTACATGACACCACAAATAAAGTGAAAAGACAAGCCACAAAGTGGAAGAAGATATTTTAAAAAAAATATATAACCAAGACAAGTTTAGTATATGAGTCTATAAATAACTAATGTGAATTAATAAGACAATCCAAAAGACAAAAGGGACAAACATCATAAGAAGGCATTTCACAGAAACATAACACAAATGGCTCATAAATGAGTGAAAAGACACTCAGCTGAATTATTAATCAGGAAAGGGCAAATTAAAGCATCAGAAAGATACTTTATACACCCATTATTGTTGTTGTTGTTAAGTGCAGTAGAGTCGGTTCCAACCCATAGCAACCCTGTTTAAGGTTTCTGAGGAGCAACTGGTGAGATTGAAATGCCACCTTACAATTCAAACGGCTTTATGGTCTGGCGTATTAACTCACAGTGCCACACCAGAACTCCTTTAAACCCATGTTGTTGTTGTTATGTGCCGTGGCGTTGGTTCCTACTCATAGCGACCCTGCACAGCATTTCTGAGGCTGTAAATCTTTGCGGGAGCAGAAAGCCTCACCTTTCTCCTGCGGGACAGCTGGTAGTTTCGAACTGCATACCCTGAGGTTAGCAGCACAATTCATAACCACTATGCTACCTACCAGAGCTCCTTTATACCCATAGAACCAGTCAAAAATTTAAAGTCTCACAGTACCAAGGTTTGACAAGGCTATGAAACAAAAGGAGCTGTCCTTCACAGACGTTGTTGTTGTTAAGTACTGTTGAGTCAATTCTGACTCATAGAGGCCACTCTATAGGGTTTCTGAAGAGCAGCTAGTGGGTTTGAACAACCGATCTGTGGTTGACAGTCCAGTGCACATCCTACAGTACCACACTAGCAAGTCTAAATAGTATTTCCCTACATTGGTAAAATACAGTGAATAAGGAAGATCATAGAAGAATTGATGCCTTTGAGTTGTGGTGTTGGAGGAGAATACTGAAAGTGCCATGGACTGCCAAAAGAACCAATAGATCTATTTTGGAAGAAGTGCAGCCAGAGTGCTCCTTGGAGGCCAAGATGGCTAGGCTTCGTCTCTCATACTTTGGACATATTGTTCAGAGGGAACAGTCACTGGAGAAGGATGTCATGCTGGGTAAGGTGGAGGGTCAGAGAAAAAGAGGAAGACCCCTAACGAGATGGATTGGCCAGGTGCCATAATTGATGGCGTCAAGTGTGGCAGCGGTAGTGAGGTTGGCCCAGGATCGGACATTGTTTCGTTCTGCTGTGCATGGGGTCACTATGAGTCGGTTCTGACTCAAAGGCACCCGACAACAACAACAACAACACTGGCAAATACTTTGGCACCACATAGTAAAGTAAAAAAATGGGCATGCCCTGTGACCCATAAGTTCATAGGCCAGGTATGCCCTAGAGAAATTCTTGCAAATGTGTTATGTTTCCAATGTTTAAAACATTATTTGTAATGACTCCTAACAGACACATCTAAGCATCAATCAATAGGAAAATGTTGACTGAATTGTGGTATAGTCTTACTACATACATGTAGCAACATCTACATGGAGGTTTTCACAAACATAATGCTAAACAAAAATGCTGGACACTTCTAGAAGTCACAGTATCTATTCATAAGTAGGAAAATTAATTATTTAGGAAATTATATATGAGTATAGGCGGTAACCTGGTGTGGCTTTGTGGGTTAATGTGATGGACTGTAAAGTCCGTTTGAACTACAAGGTTGGCAGTTCAAGCTCACTAGCTGCTCCTTGGAAACCCTATACAGGGTCGTTAGAGTTGGAACTGACTCAACGGCATTTAACAACAATGACAACAGGTGTCAAGCAAAGTCAGCAGTTGGAATCTACCACTTATTCCATGAGGCTTTCTGCTCCCGTAAACATTTACAATCTCAGAAACCTATACAGGGTTGATATGATTCAAAATTGACTTTATGGCACACAATCAGCACCAACACCATAGGTGATAAAGGGAGGGCTGGTGGCACTGTAGGATAAGCACTGGATGGCAATACACAAGGTCAACAGTTCAAAGCCACAAGCTGCTCCACTCTGAAGACAGATAGGGCATTTGCTTCATAAAGATTTATAGCCTTTTAAATCCTACACAGAGTGGCTCTGAGTCGGAACTGACTCAGCAAGTTAACAACAACATAGGTGGTTAAACTTTAAAACAGAGATTAGCAAATTACAGCCTACTGACTTGGTAAATAAAGCTTTATGGAAACAGTCAAATCTATTTGTTTACATATTGTCTATGATGTTTTAATACTACAACGGCAGAGTTGAGTAGCTCTGACAAAGGCCATATGGCCCACAAAGCTGAAAATATTCACTATATGGCCCATTATAGAAAAAGTTTGTTGAACTGTACTTCATTATAAAGAAAAGGGATGGTTAACCCAGACTTCAGGACAGTGATTACCTCCAAGGAGATACAGGAGGATGTGACTGGAGAGGGGCTTCTAAGGAGAACGAATTTATTTTTAAGGTGGGTTTTCATTCTGACAGATTTCCATTATTATCTTTCCAAGTTTACACACATCTTATATCCATTGTTGTTTGTATGATATACTCTATAATTTAAATTTTTTCTTAAAGTGGAGGAGGAGAGATTCTGTTCTCGGCAGCCACCAATATGCGTATCAATTGAAATTCTGTAATTTACATATATCATCTATAACCAATGGAGGGCTACTGGTGCTGTGGGCTAAGTACTGGGCTGCTAGCCTCTAGGCCAGCAGTTCAGACTCATCAGCAGCTTCACAGGAGAAAAAGGGGGCATTTGTATCTGGCCCTGTCTCTGCCATCATCTTATTTTGTGAATAGAGGGAAATTCCTCTGACCTTTTTAGATTGAGATCATCCGATTCAATCAAGCTTCCTCAACAATATCTAAGACAAATGCAGATCCTCTCACCCCTGCTGGGATCTCAAACAGCCTGTTTTGTTGTTGTGTTCTCAGCAAGATCAGATTCTTCCCATATCCTACTCCACAATCTACCTCTTAAATTGACCATTGCTCTTAGGAACATGAATCTCAAAAGGAACGTGAATGTTCATCTCACCCAGGCCTGTGTTTGGTCATGGAAGCTGTATGTGGATGTATCCAGAGTTCATTAACTTCCCACATGATTTGATTCTTCACTCTGGGCTATATGTTCTTTTTTTATATTAGAATGAAATCTCTACCACATTAATTTCTCCTCATGGATTCCTGTTTTGCTATCCAGACATAGCAAAACACGTTTCGCATTTATAAGACATTTTATGTATTTACATTTCCCCTTTGTAAAACATAGCATACAACTTACCTATAAAGATCTGTGATCAGTTTGCCTTCATACCGATCACACAGGTTGTTGAGAACTTGCTCATGCTGGCCAAACAAGCGGATGTAGTTGGAAGCAGGGAAAGGTTCTTTGGAAAGGCAGGTAATGGTTTCTACCATCTTATACTTGTTAATATGAATTCTGAAGTAATTCCCATTTTTTGCATTACCTGTAACAATTTCTAAGCCCTAGTTGGGGGTGGGTGGGAGAGGATGGAAATCAGAAAAACAACATTAGAAACATTTTTTAACTTTGAAACTATATCAATACCAATTTATTTTTCAAATCTAACAGGTTATATCTTACCACTTACTGCAAATGAGAGTAATGAATATTGACTAAACTCAACAGAAGATAACTGTGTGTCAGAAACCACATACTTGGACTTAATGATCAAATGTTCCTTAGGAGATTTTAAACCATGCTTTTAAATTAGTTGCTAGGTTACAGACACATTTACTATTACTCAATGCCTCACACAACTAATACACATCCTGGGTTTAGTCTCCTTTATGAGGTATCTAAAGATTGTTCATTTTCTTAGTCTGTCCACATCATCTTTTTTTTTTTAAACTTTTTATTGTGAATTGAGTAAAGGTTTACAGAGCAGATCAACAGTTTTACATTCAGCAAATCATACTTTGTTTCAGTTCAATGATTGCAATCTACTTCATGTAAGCATCTTTTTGAGAAAAAAAATTTCCTAGTCAAAAATAATCAGAAATAATTTCAATTACTTTAAAGATTGCTAAAATAAGAGAAACAAGTATAAAACGGTTGTTGGACTTTGCTATTTGGTGATGGCTGTTCCTAGGCAGGCATCTTACTGGAACATAATTTTCAGTAGGCAACTTTTTAGGTTACAAATTGTCAAGGATGTAGATTCCTGGCTTTATGCTCTTAGGAACACTTGCTAAAACCGCCACATTGCCACATGAACTCATATGACAGAAAAGATGCTGCCATAATCCTCATCACCATCATTTTTTCAGTTCCAGCCCCTGCTGACCACCACCAAGACAGAGATGGTCCTCACTGGCTCAGGCAACCACACTGGGAACCCTCAGTGCAGAAGGACGGGTGGTAGTGTTTGAATCTTTACTTTAAGCCCGTGGACTCTGAACTGAGCACACAGTAATGCTCAGTGAACTTCTGTTGAATGCATATCTATTTAAGCGTTTACTCTGAACTTGACTGTGGCATTTAGAAACCCAAGGGCAAGTTGGACTGCACAGATTCCAAATTTTTATGAAGTCCTGGAAATCACCTGGGGAGTTTTTTTGAGGCAATGACACATGAATTAGCTGGGTTTTAAAATAAATTGAGGTTACTGGTGGGTGTTTGGGGATCACATGACTGAAGTCCCTGAATAGAGTTTCTGAGGCTGTAAATCTTTATGGGACCAGAAAGTCTCATCTTTCTCCTGCAGAGCAGCTGGTGCGGCTTGTGATTAGTATTCCTACCGAGCCACTGCATTTGTATTATTTCATACAAAGAGATATGATCATTGGATGGTCACCATTTTGTGAGGTCATTATCATTACTATGTACATTCAAGGGCTGAGGAACCTGAGACTTGGATTGTTACATGACATTCCCAGAATTATAAATGATTCTGGGTAACAGCAGAACTAATCAAATTCTGTGCCTATTGTCTGATAGTGCTATGACTTTGGGCAAGTTTCGTAGCTATCCTAAGTCTCAAAGACCTCATCTGAGAGGAGGGTAATGATACATTTTTCCTGAATTTAAATGAGAAAATCCTCTCGTTTAAATTTGGGGGTAGGGAGAGGGCAAATCCAGGTTAGGAGACTAGTTAGAGACAGTACTTCAAAGATCCATATTTCAGAAAGTCAAGGATACAGAGAGGAAATCTTCCTCAAAGCAAAGTGCTTGAAAAAATAATGAACACAGGTATTATCTAACAAAATAATAGTATATCAATATAACAGAATGGAATGCATCCAATAATAATTATTGGTAAAATATATTCCAAAACTAAGAAATATGTTCATAGTACATTTAATAAGAAAACAGTAGCTTATAAAAAATTGACCATATTATTCATTTTTTGTATCAACATTTTAACCAAATGTTCATGGTCATATTCATTATTTGCCTTTTTGTTCACCTATCTGTAGTTTATCATTTTTAGCAATGAATGTCACTTTCAAAATGAAAAAAAAAATTGTTAAATATGCTGCTGTACTGTGGCAAGTAGCAGTCAAGCGATCAGACGACGTATTGCACTGGGCAAATCTGCTGCACAGGAACTTTTTAAAGTATTGAAGAGCAGAGATGTCAGCTTGAGGACTAGGGTGCGCCTGATCCAGGCCATTGTGTTTTCAATAGCCTCATATGGATGCGAAAGCTGGACAGTGAATAAGGAGGATCGTAGAAGAATTGATGCCTTTGAGTTGTGGTGTTGGAGGAGAATACTGAGGGTGCCATGGACTGCCAAAAGAACCAATAGATCTGTTTTGGAAGAAGTGCAGCCAGAGTGCTCCTTGGAGGCCAGGATGGCTAAGCTTCGTCTCTCCTACTTTGGACATGTAGTCCGGAGGAAACAATCACTGGAGAAGGATGTCATGCTGGGTAGGGTGGAGGGTCAGAGAAAAAGAGGAAGACCTCCAACGAGATGGATCGGCCAGGTGGCATCATTGATGGACTCAGGGGTGGCAGCGGTGGTGAGGTTGGCCCAGGATCGAGCATTGTTTCGTTCTGCTGTGCATGGGGTCGCTATGAGTCGGTTCCGACTCGATGGCACCTGACAACAACAACAACAACAACTGTGGCAAATAGCAAATTCTTGATGAACAAATGGAGAAAGAAACGAAACAGAAACCAGAGAAAGGCAAAGAAAGGAAGGAAGGAGGGAGGGAGGGGGTATGGGAGAGAAAGAGGAAGAAAAAAGGAGGTAGACCCTGAGGAGTTATCCCAAGTGGAAGGGTGGGCTTGTTGGGAGAAGAGGGAAGAGGACAGCCAGGTTTGAGGCACTGCAGGTGTCTGGTCTCCTTATCTGGTAGTTCAATCACCGTTTGCTTCTTGCCACAACTATGAGGGGTTCCAATAAGTTCTTAGAGAAATTCCATTATTTTTTTATTTCATTTTCTCCATATCTTTTTGAAGCTCCCTTGTATTTCTCTAGTCCACGATTCCCTCACTGTTCTTTTTTCAATCTTGTTGTCTAAGGTTTTGACTTCTCACACTGAGTAATGAAACCACCTGAGGCGGGGCATGTGATCTCAAAGGCCCAGCTGTCAAGCTAGTGGGTGGGTGTCTGGACAAGTTCCCCTAACGTCCTGTGGTTTGCTGCCTAAGAGTATCATTTGCCCCCAGATGTCAATCTGTGCAATGAGTGCAGTTCCTTTGCACTATTTTCAATTATTTCTAGGTGGTTTTTTTTTGTTATAGATCTTGGCCTTGAATTTTTTTAAGTTTCCATAACAATGTGTGTGTGCCTTGAATTTTTTTGTTTCCATAACAATCATTGAGCGTCCTCTGTAAGTGCTGTTAGCATGTCATTGTTGTTAGGTTCCGTCCAGTCAGGTCTGACCAATAGCGACCCTCTGTACAACAGAACAAAACACTGCCCGGTCTTGTGCCATCCTCACAATTACTGCTACACCTGAGCCCATTGTTGCTGTCACTGTGCTAAACCATCTCATTAGATGTTTCCTTCCTTTTCACTGTCCCTCCACTACTCTACAAAGTATGATGTCCTTCTCTAGGGACTGGTCCCTTCTGATAATATGTCCAAAGTATGAGAGATGAAATTTTGCCATCTTGGTTTTTGAGGAGCATTCTGGTTGTGCTTTTTCCAACAAAGATTTGTTTGTTCTTCTGGGAGTCCATGGTACCTTTAATATTCTTCTCCAAAGCCATAACTTAAATGCATCAATTTTTCTACTAACTCTGTTTTTCATTGTCCAGCTTTCACATACATGTGAGGCTACTGAGGTGAGGTGCACTTTAGTCCTCAAACTGATATCTTTGCTCTTAAACACTTTAAAGAGGTCTTGTGCAGCAGCTTTGCTTAATGCAATACATCATTTGATCTCTTGACAGCTGCTTCCACGTGTGTGGTAGTGGATCCCAGCAAAACAGTCTTTGACAACGTCAGTCTTTTCTCCATTTGTCATGTTGTTATTTATTGGTCCAATGGTAAGGATTTTTGTTTTCTTTACATAAGTTGCAACATGTGGTCTTTGATATTTATCAGTAAGTATTTTAAGTCCTCTTCATGTTCAGCAAGCAAGGTTATATCATCTACATATCACAAGTTGTTAATGAGTTTTCCTTTAATCTTGATGCTACATTCTTTATATAACCCAGCTTCTTGGATTATTTCCTCAGCATACAGACTGAATATATATGGAGAAAGAATATAACCCGGGCACACACCTCTCTTGATTTTAAACCATTCAGTGTCCCCTTATTTGTTCAAACAACTGCTTCTTGGTCTATGTACTGGTTCCGCATGAACACCATTAAGTGTTCTGGAATACTCATTCTCTGCAGTTGTCCATAGCTTGCAAGCCTTTGCCTAGTCAATAAAGCATAGGTAAACATCTTTGTGGTATTCTCTGTCTTCATCCAAGACCCATCTGACAGCAGCAATAATATCCCTCATTCCATGTCCTTGTCTGAATCTGACTTGAACCTCTGACAGTGCCCTGTCAATGCTGACTGCTGTAGTCAATTTTTAATTGTCAAATTTTACTTGCATGTGATATTAAAGTTATTGTCTGATTATTTCTGCATGCTGTTGGATCACTTCTCTTTGGAATGGGCACAAATATGGATCTCTTCCAATCAGTTGGCCAGGTAGCTGGCTTCCTAATTTCTTGGCATAGATGAGTGAGTACCTCCAGTGCCTCATCTGTTTGTTGAAAGATTTCAATTTGTATTCCATCAATTTCTGGAGTCTTGTTCTTTGCTAATGACTTCAGTGCACCTTGGACTTCTTCCTTTAGTGCCATTGGCTTTTGATCATATGCTACCTCTTGAAATGGTTGAACATTGACCATCTCTGTTAGGTACAGTAACTACTGTGTATTCCTGCCATTTTCTTTCGATGCTTTTTGCGTCATTCAATATTTTTCCCATAGAATCTTTGACTATTTCAAGTCTTGATTTTTTTTCCTCAGTTGTTTCAGCTTGAGAAATGCTAAGCATGTTCTTTCCT